CCTGCTCCGAATACAGAATAACAAGAGCTGGAAGGGGCCTCGGAGGTCTTCTAGTCCAGCCCCCTGCTCCGAATACAGAATAACAAGAGCTGGAAGGGGCCTCGGAGGTCTTCTAGTCCAGCCCCCTGCTCCGAATACAGAATAACAAGAGCTGGAAGGGGCCTCGGAGGTCTTCTAGTCCAGCCCCCTGCTCCGAATATGTAATAACAAGAGCTAGAAGGGGCCTCGGAGGTCTTCTAGTCCAGCCCCCTGCTCCGAATACGTAATACCAAGAGCTGGAAGGGGCCTCGGAGGTCTTCTAGACCAACCCCCTGTGTGACTCATTTAACGACCGCAGGGATTCCCTCAAGAAACGCGGCAAGAAGGAGAGTCGTGAAAGGGAGCCAAACGCACTGAAGAAATTTGCCCCGCTTTGCCACGGAAACGTCGGGCTCCCTCGTGGCCGTTAAGCCGAGGACTGACGGTATTCTGTTTCCCTCTGGCAGCCCTGCGGCCGGGCGCTCAACTCCATCCTGGGCAAGACCAACCTGAAGTTCGCCGCCATGCCCATCACCCTGACCATCTCCACCAGCAGCCTCAACCTCATGGCGTCCGACTGCAAGCAGGTGAGGGTCCCTTCCTTACTCGGCCGGGCTCCGGGCAGCGTCTCCGCCGGAGCGGCTGGCTGGGCTTAGCCGGGCCTCGGTTTGTGTCCGGCGACCGGGAGACGGGCAGCGTGCGGCCGTGGAGAAGCAGAGAGCGCGCCAAATGATTTGGGTGAACCCCTTTTTCAAAAGGCCCCTGGGAGTTTCAGAGGCTGCGTGGAAGCTTTCAAGAATTAGACCGAACTGCCGATGTGTCTGAAAAGGGTGTAGTAGGGTTTCCTTCCTGGGCGGGGGGGTTGGACTAGATGACCTCCGAGGTCCCTTCCAATTCTGTTATTCTATTCTATTCTATTCATATTCATATTCTATATTCTATATTCTATATTCTATATTCTATATTCTATATTCTATTCTATATTCTGTTCTATTCTGTTCTATATTCTATTCTATATTCTATTTTGTATTCTCTATTCTCTATAGCAGTGTTTCTCAACCTTGATAATTTTAAGGCATGTGGACTTCAACTCCCAGAATTCCACAGCCAGCAAGTTGAAGTCCACATGCCTTAAAATTGTCAAGGTTGAGAAACTACTCTATAGCGTTAGGGTTACGTCACCATGAACTCGGAGAGCAAAACGGACATCGCCAACCAATTCGTAGTGCTTGGGCATGGTTGGGAGGGCACCGACTTTTCTAGGCTGCCCTATCTATCTTTCCTGGTAAAATACATGGGAAAATCCCATTGGAGGAAAATTCCACTTATTTATTTATTTATTATTTATTTTATTTGTTTGGATTTTTATCCCGCCCTTCTCCTTACGGACTCAGGGCGGCTGACAGCCTGATAAAACAAATACAAAGATAAAAAATACCCACTTTAAAACCTAATTAAAATGAAATATTTGATGTGGCCTATGTCAATTTAAAATTACTCTTAAAACCCCACTAAAAATTCCCCCTAGGCCAGTCCTGCTTGTTGGAATAGCCATGTCTTAAGGGCGCGGCGGAAGGACCTAACCCTAACTTAGGGTTAGGTCACCATGAACTCATAGAGCAAAATGGACATCGCCAACAAACTCGGAGTGCTTGGGTATGGTTAGGAGGGCACCGACGTTTCTAGGCTGCCCGATCTATGTTTCCTGCTAAAATACATGGGAAAATCAATTTTATCCTCTGTTTCGGCTTGTAGATCATCGCCAACCACCATATGCAGTCCATTTCGTTCGCTTCCGGAGGGGATCCGGTGAGTATAGTGAGATTTTCCCCAAAATTCTTGCAAAAGGCCCGCCCCACCCCCTAAAAAAAATATAGTCCCTTGGGGCACAGATGTGGTTGATTAGTATTATTATTATTATTTTAACCCTTTCTCCAAATCTGGTCGTTACCAGCCTGTTTTGCGTTTCGCAGGATACGGCGGAATACGTCGCTTACGTTGCCAAAGACCCTGTCAATCACAGAGGTAGGTGGTCCCCTCATCTTGACCTGGATCTTCCAATCCTGGCTTAATGCTCGGTTCTTCTCCTGCAGCCCGTTTAATCTTGTTTTTTTTCTCCGTCCCCACCTGATTCAGCTTGGAAGTGCGCGAGTACGGGACGAAAGAGAGCTGGGTTTTTTTTTCTCTCTCCCTAGGGCCTTGTGGTTCAAATAATCAGAATAGAGCTGGAAGGGACCTTGGAGGTCTTCTAGTCCAGTCCCCCTGCTCAAGCAGGAGACTATATCATTTCAGACAGGAGGGAAGGAAGGAAGGAAGGAAGGAACAGAGGGAGGGAGGGAGGGAAGAAGGGAGGGA